CATTTGAAAAGGTGTTTGTTAGAAGCAGGCTCCAAAATAAAAACTGTCCTGCGTCCAGAGAGACAGGGGAGCATGGGACTGCTAATTTAAAGAGATTCGCATTTAATTTCCCCTTGTACTCTGAAAGCCTTCTACATCCTGTATATTCTCTCCAACATAAATACGTAAGTTTTCCTGAACACCCAGCAAATACAGAAGAAACTATTTACCCTTTAGGGAGCTGTATTTCCTCAAGCGATTTTTAACAAAACAATTACCTCTCCCCCCATAAATTAGCTTCCTGCACTCCTGATAGTGAGCTGTTTGCGTCCTTTTTCTTTTCTCTTCCTTGGCTGAAGGTTCGAATGCTGCTTTTCACTCTACTGATTCGCTGCTCTTGACAAGCCATCAGATGACAGTGAAGGAAAGAGGCCATTTCATTTTCCAGTAGCAGATGATGCATTAATACTTGGCCTCCTAGAACTCCTTACAGATCCACAGATCATTCGATGACTGTAATTTAATGCAAAGGCTCCTGTATTGACCACTGTTTTGTCCTTGCTGGGTTAAATTTCACTTCCCAGCTGGAGGTATAGTTTCCCATCCCGTATTGCTGGTGGTGAAGGGCAAGGGTCTCAGGGCCTGACTCGTGATGTCACCTTCAGTCCACCTTCCCCATCACTGGTCTTGATCCCTGCTGGAAGCGCTACTGGAAGGTGTAAATAAATAATAGCAGCACCACCAGGACTGTATTACTAGTGGTGTTTCGTGATCAGAAAAATGGAGGTAAATGAGTTGTGCAAAGCGTACGGTGCAAGACATGGCCCAACACTGTACACTGCCAGGCAGGTATTCTTGAACACACGCCAATTAGCACTCTGTGTTTTGCACCCTGGACCATGTTGCTTTTCTGGTCAAGCTGTTAAGGAATGTGCTTCTATGCAGCATCTTTCATCTGGATGGGTCCCAGCCTTAAAAGGAATGTTAAGTGGTTTTACATAAGGCATTACGTAGGATTAGAGAATGTGATCTGTTTGCATTGTAGTCTTAAAAGAAAGAAGAGCCAGGGTTATTTTAATGAGACATCAAGATTCATCTGGTTTCGGTAGATGCAAAACTGTAGAAATTTCTAACTGAACAATATAGTAAGGGTAGTTAAAAGCAGTGGAATGTGCCGTGCGTGTGAGTGCATGTTCATTGTCAAATAAGAAACTCTGAGCTATGAAACAGCAGAATGAAAAAATAATACTTCAGACCTAGTTTTTATCAGACTGCTAAAATGTCTTTAATTTCACATAGTCTAACAATCCCACACGGAAGGTATTCAGAACTATTCTGTGGGATTGCTTCATGTTCGTGGTGTGTTTGAATAATAAAATAGATCAGCTGCACAGCAATGCCAAGGCCAAATACTCATGAATAACTCAAGGGCCTTCAGCTTTTCCCGCTCCCTGACTCCTGCAATACACTATATTTTTACGTCAAACTTAATTGTTGCGGAAACCAAGTAGGCTCTCAAGAAATGCTGCAGCATCTCAGCATTAGCTTTTTTTTTTTTTTTTTTTTTTTTCTAAATTTGTGGTTTGAGTTTTTCAGGCTGGTTTTCTTCCCTGATAAAACACACACTGTTGCTACACCCTGTCTCCCCCCGGCCATGAGCGAGGGGCCTGCAGAGGAGCTATTTCCAGGCTCTCTGGGCAGCTTCCCGCCACTAAGTCCAATTCTGCTGGTGACAGGCAGGATGCTGAAGCTACTAAAGCTTCTCAGCATCACCTCGGCAGCTCTCAGCACTGTTACTGTCACTTTACCTGCCCGCTGAGCTCTGCTAGTGGGATCCAGAATAAGAGGGACAGAGCAGGTTTCGCTAACGGTCTCTCGCTGCTGGAATGGCCCTTTGGGGCAGCTGGGATGGCTGTTGCTGTGGGCAGAAAAGATGCCTGGAGAAAACTAAAGAGCTTGGGTAAAGGGGCTCTGAAAGGAGCGTGCTATATCTATCACAAGAGCAGAAAGGGGGAGAGATCGTGGTGAGACCGATGCAAGGAACACAGCCGAGGGAGCAGCTCTGGGCAAGAGAAGAGGGAGGGGATGGCATCCAGCCCTGCTAGATGCTTCTTACGTCCAGTGTGGGAATTCACTTGCTCAAGAAAGCACCAATCTCCTTCCATAGACTGAGGATCTGTCCAGGGGTTGTTGCCGAGATGCTCAGGGAAGAGAGAAAAGACACTAAAGGAGAGCAAAGCCTTTTCAGGCTGTCAGGAGACTTGTATCCCTTGCAGGAGCAGGAGAATTAAGTAAGACATAGCTTAGACCCTCATGCTAGCTTTAACTGAGGCCCTTGTGCAACTATTTGTTTTTCAAGGAAGGAACAGGAGCGCTAGCAGCTATACATTATTTTTGTGTCACCCTGTTTACGTAGATGTATCTCAGGAGACTTTGCAGCTGATTGTGCTGTTTGCATTCAAAGGAAGGAAACCAGTTGGATGCCCTTCCCTCCCACGTGCATGCGCGGGAGGGCAGGGGTGAAGCAGGCAGCTCCGCCAACCGTAACTGCCCGGCACAAAGATGCAGGAAAATGCAGCCTTTCAATTAAAACCAGCATTAACAAGGGGACTTCAGAGCACTGCCTGGAAACCCAGGTGATCCCCCTGTTTTCAGGTGCATGAACCTGGCTGGAACATATTGCGATATCTTGCTGAATCATGCAGGCAGGTGGATTCGGTTGTTTCTGCCAAGATGTAAGAGGAGCTGGAACCCTTTCCCTGGATGAGGTGTATCTTCAGGGGGAAATCCTAGAAACAAACTTGGCACGCACAGATTTTGGCTTGGACTTACTAACGCCACATTGCAAAAAAAAGAGACTGGCGAGGAAGGACGTTTTGAATATAGCATCCATCTGCCTGTCAGTGCAGGAGAGCAAGAACTAGTTAAAAACAATACTGGAAATAGAATCACAGAATCATATGATGGTTTGGGATGGAAGGGACCGTAGAAATTGTCTAGTTCCAACCTCCCTGCTCTGGGCAGGGCCCCCTTCCCCCAGCCCAGGGGGCTCCCAGCCCCGTCCAACCTGGCCTTGAACCCTTCCAGGGAGGGGGCAGCCACATCTGCTCTGGGCACCCTGGGCCAGTGTAGATGGGAAGTTGAGTTTAGAAGAGATCTTGCTGACCTCTAAAGAGAGATAAGAGGAACAGAAATCTCAGAAGGTTGTAGTCCTGCAATACTGGTGTGTCTCAATGTCTGTGACAGAAGGGAGTAACCTGGGACTGAGAGGCAGTGAGGCCCCAGATACAGCACCGAGGCACACGCAGGTGGGTCTGCATGGTCATCTGAACCCACAGCTGAGAGTGGGGTATTTTATTAAAATCCAGCAAAACCTTGCAAGAGTCCTGAGGATGCTGTTTGGGGTGAGGAGCCTACTGGAAACTGGCCTGATAGTCTTAACTCAGATGAGAAATGCATTTGTTTATTGCCAGACTTCTGCAGTATCTCATCGTGTTGGTGCTCAGCACTGACCAGCCCCTGACAGTGCAAAGGCAGCCCCCGACGTAAAAACCAGGCCTGTCTCTGAACGCACACCGGCGTTGGTTTGGTTGAAGTTTTAGGCTGACAGCTCTTTATCTGCATGGCTTTTTGTATTCTTAAGTAGTTCCTTCAGTTTACAGAGCATCTTCCAGAAGGAAGGACATTCACAGAAACTGATTAAACAAGTAATTTAATTAACTGCTGAAACTCTGTCTCCTCTACGAGTGAAATACGATGGCTCTGTTACAGCAAGTGTGCAATCATGCTTACAGAAGAAGTAAAGATAATTCCTTTGGCTGCAAACCCCATGTCTATGTAGGCGGTCATGACACTATTTGGGGTGAGAAATAGGAACAGCATGAATAGAAGGATTTCCTAAGCAACAAAGATCTGCTTCACTTAAAAATATTTCAGCAAGAAAAAAAACCCAGAAAGATGTTAGGAAGGCTTCAGCTTTCAAGAAGAGCAAAGCTGATTCTGTTTTATCACTTTTTGATATTTGCTAGAAATTGTGACCTCTTAACCCAAGAATAAGGGTACAGAAATTAAAGCAGCGGTGACAAATCACAGCCACACAGCATAACTGCTTGAGAGAAGTCCCCTTGCAGTGCTCTTCAAGCACAGTTGAGATCTACATTCCTTTTACTTCCCCATGCAATTAAGCAGAAGCAGTGAGAGGGTGAAGACTGAGGAGGCAGAAGTGATGATGATAATAACTGTGGGGAAGAAGCAAACATATTCCAGAAGCTTGTATAACCACCGTAAGAACAGATCTGTCACTGGGGGTTAGGGCAGCGCCTTCTCTGTGTCACGACAAAGAAAACTCGTCTGGATGGCACGGTTTCTCTCAACAGCAAGCCCCAGCGAGTACTTGGTGGCACCTGAGAAAGAGCAGAGATTTTGTAGCGTCCCTTTCCCACCTCTTACATAAGTATTGCACAACGCGGCTGGTTTCTGTTTGCAAAGGGCTGGGGATATGAAAAGCAACTGTAAATGCTGCCTGGGTAAGTGGGCCAGTCAAATCAAGGTGAATTATGAAACTGCCCCTGCAAGCCGTGGGAGCAGTACCCATGATCCAGGTTCTCTCCTAATCCTGGGGCCTTTTCAGCACTGTATCTCCTGGCACACCGGCTTGGGTGCCCCTGGCTGCAGGCTCTCTCTGCAGGGTATTTTCTCTTTTTGCCTTTTCCCCATTTAGCATCGTTTTTCCTAAAAAATCCTTCCATTGCGTGCCTGTTCAGTGCGTCTGCTGCGAAATCAGCTCTTTGTGATCTGGCAACTCGGGCAGCAAAAACATAAATATACTTCCTAGGAAGGGCTGTTTGCAACTGGAAAAAAAAAGGAAGGATGAATCGGTGGAGTGAAGGGATGGACAGTGGGTGAAAATGAACGAATGCTGAGTCACCCTCTGGAAATGAAATCATCTGCAAAACCCCCTGACTTGGGATCATAGGAAATAATGCAGGAAAAAGCCTTGGGAGTTCACACGGCACAGGATCAAACCTCTCTGCTACTCTTTAATTTTGATACCACGTGCCATAATGGAAAGGGAAAAAATGCCAATAAACGGGGCAGTACGAGCTTGACCTAAGCAGCAATTCTCAAAGGGAACAAGGAAAACAGGACCTGAACCCATCTCAATTTAATTAGACTTTCAAATTAACAGATGTCCTTTTCCATCCTCTTTTTTTTTTTGGTCCTCTCCATTTCTCAGCTGCTTTTCTTTTAATCTCCTCTTTCAACCTACCTGAACACCTCTGACAGTCTCCAGCGTAAGAAATCCACCCCCTCACAACACCAGTCACTTCTCTGCCGCTTCGAAGAAGCAACAGACACATGCAACTTCAGGGATTATTTATAAAAAATCGTAAGGGAGCTTCTGCCAAGGCCTCGAGCGGCTGAGCTCCTCGCGGCCGCGGTGCCCAGAAGCCGTGGGCAGGAGGATTCAGCTGCCTGCCACGTGAACCGGCACTTCAGCGAGCTGAAATTATATGTTTCGCTCTGATGCTGTAAACACAGGGGGGGGGAAGCCAACGGGAGGCAGTCGCAGAGTATTGGAGAAGGCACTTACAAATTAAGCATCAGCATATCAATGGGAGCGCAACAACACATGGCTTTGGCACGGATGAGCTGCCTGAAACAGAAAATCGTTTCCCTTTTGAATGTTTTTCCCACCTTCAAAAATGAAGAGCGGATCCTGTGCATCCAACAAAGCTGGATGGCCATCGCCTTTCCCCAACCACAGCAGGTCAGCGTGCAGAAATGAGCAGCACCCTCCCAAACTCTCCTCTTGCAGATACAGTCTGGGGCTCAGTTCCTCTCTCATCCCTCCAGATTTTGGCCCGCACAATCTTCTGGTGGCTGCCACATTTCCAGTTTAGAGATCATGCCTCAAGCGCTGTGCCGTGCTTCTTCCAAAGAGGCTGCGGCTTCGCATGAGTTGACCGGCAGCTTGTTGGCATCAAAAGTATAGACAAGTAGCCTGGAATGCTCAGGATGAGAGCGCTCACCGCCGTGGCACGCTGCGGTGTGCGGGTGGGAGCGGGCGAGCGCTTTGCAGCCGGCATTGCAAAGGGCTTCAGCGCTTTCCCTGCGTTTGCACCAGAAACACAGGCCTGGGAGGCTGCAGCTGGCAGGAGAGCGCGGGAAGGCAAAGAAAAAGAAATTGGAATGTGCTCCTTGCATCGCTCCAGGTGGGATGTTTTAGCTGAGGGCACGAGGGGCACCTCTGGGTAACCGGGGTGCAAGGCCAGCGCCGCTGCTCCCCTGATGAAGTTTTGTGGCTGGGTGCTCCCCGTGAGCTCGGGCTGAGTCGCAGTCTCACGTGGCAGAGCGCTGAATCAATCCCAAATATGAGGGGGCAAGCGCTTTGCTGTTGGAAGTCTGGAGGGAAGGAAGGTGCATGTTAGCAATCACGCTGCAGCTACATCTTCCCTGGGGGGGTGTGTGTGTGTGTGTGCCCAAACCCGGGTCCTCGAGCTGCATTTTGTCGCGCTGCATCTTGCACGTGTACAGAGCGTTACGTCCTGCTGCCCACACAGGCGGAATCAGGGGAGCAGGAGCTGGCAGACCCCAACCCCAGGGCAGGATCCCTCCGGTGATTTCTCAACCCACGTGTGTCTGTGCCCTCACCGCGTGCTCTGGGCAGGGCACGTAGTTTCGCTCGAGCTCTGTGTGTGCACGAGTGGTGGTTCGTGGCTCTGCTTTTGGTGGTGGTGCTGGGGGGGTGGGTGTGCGTCCCCGGGGTGCTCTGTGGGTCATCCCAGCCGGGTGGGTGTTTATACCCCGGGAAGGGGGATGCGTGTGTGCGCCCCAAAACCATCCCACGCTGGGCAGGCTGAGCGGGGAGCTGCGTGCCCAGTGCCCTGGGTGTGGATACCTCCAGGGCGTGGGTGTTGTGTGCGTGTCCCTCAGTGGGCCCAGTGCCCTGGAAGGGGTGACCTGGCTATGGGCGCCCCGGCTTTGGGTGCAACGGGTGCGCCCGGACCTGCCCGCGCTTGAGCGCCCCACGCGTGCCCGCCCGTGGGCGGGTGCCCCGGGGGGTGGGGTGGGGGGGTGGCGGGCCGCCGTGCCGTGCCACGCCGTAGCGGCGGGCGGGGATGCTGCCGCCGCCGGCCCCCCCCCCCCCCCCCCCGCCACCGCGGCAGACGCAGCCGCGGCTCGGAGCGAAGACGGAACCTCCCGCAGCCGCCGCGGCCCGGGCAGCCCCTCGCCCCGCCATGGCCCGGAACCGCCGGGAGAGGAGCAGCTGGGGTAGGAAAGGAGGCGGGAGGGGAGGGAAGCGAAGCCCCGGGCGGGGCGGCCGCGAACAATGCCGGGCCTGCCGCGGCCCCGCGGCGGCTTCCACGCACTCGGCTTCCCCGCCGCCCGTCCCTTCTGGGGCCTGGAGCCGGGTTTGGGGTGCTGGGCGGGCGAGGCGGCTCTGGTGTGCGTGGGGGCCCCTGCGCCCGGGGTTGGACACCTCCGTGGGGATCCCCCCCCCCCCCCCCCCCGAGGACCCCGTCGCTGCTGTCCCCTCAATCCCGGAGCGGGGGGGGGGGGGGGGATGGCACCCCAGCCACCACCCCGCCTCAGCCGGGGCGCTCACCCCACCTTCTCCTTCAGACAGAACCGCCGGCCTTCTCCGGCGGGTCCCTCCTACAGAAGGTTTGGGTTTTTTTGTTTTTGTTTTTTTTTTTTTTTTTCCCCCCATTTCTGGAGGCTGTAGGGCTTTGTTGGTCAGGCCCTCCAGCGAGGGGGCCATTTTAAATCCAATCCCTTCACAAACCTCACCTGAACCCCGGGGGGGGGAAGCTGGTAGCAGCATCTCCGGGGGAGCAGAGCGGGGTCACGGGGAGGAGGAAGTGCCGTGGTGGTTTCCAGCAAGGCTTCCCTTCTCCTCCGGCTTCCCCACGGGAGGCGAGGCTGGTCCCACAGGTGGGCTGCACCGAGCAGCAGAGGGGCTCCTGCCGCCCTTTATCACCCGGTGCACAGCCGGGGCTGCGGCCGAGCCTTCTGCATCCAGCGCTCCGCCATGTAGCGCTTCACCGGCTTCCGCTGACACGCTGTAGAAAATTAGGTTTTACACAGCCATTTGCTGTTATTTGAGGCTGCTGAGGAGCGTGATTTGTCATTTTCCCTGCGTCGTATCCCGTGTGAACCCACTCATCTGTGCTCGGTCTCATCAGGCAGAGCAGGTGAGCTGAGCTGTGATGCTTAGATACACAAATTACATTCTAATTTGTACAGATGAGTGTAGTGTTTCCCAGGGTAATGATTAACAGTGGAGGGACACCTTCGCGGAAGCATTCGGGTAACGGAGTGTGTGAGTTGAGTAGACGGAGCGGGCGGTGGTCTTTCTGCAAGAGAGCAGGGAGAAAATGAGCAAGGCTCGTTTGGTCAGTGCCATTTCCAACTGTGACTCTTGACGAAGGTCGTTAGACCCTTGGGTAGACTGGAGGGAAGACTTCCCAGCGAATATGCTGACGTTCTCAGCTTTGTCTCACAGAGCTGTCACTCCTGTCTCTGTGTGTGTTGAGTATTGCACACACGTACACGCGCTGGTGCTTTCCTGTCAGATTTTGATAGCACGAGAAGAAAACGCAAATGATGCGGAAACAGATATAAATGGAGAAAACATCATCTTGGAAAGTATAGGCTTAGTCCAGCAAGACAATTAGGCACAGCCCTCAGTGTAAACATGCTGCTAAGCCATACTGGAGTGAAATGTGATGTGTCTCTGATTTGATGCGCTCTTCCTTAGATTCTCTGTAAGTTTTACAAGAATCTGGAACCATCCATGGATCCAAGTGGAGCTCTGTGGGATCAGCTTCCTTCTGCTACAACCCATCCACAGGTCAAAATCTTACCTAGTCTTCCACAGAGGTTTACCTAGTCCTACAATGATTTCCTGGCACGTTGCCAGGCTGATTGACATTGCAGGTAATAAATTAGAGAGCAAAATGCCTGTATTTACTACTAGTGAAAAAAAAAAAAAAGCAAACACCCTTTAAATAAAAGTGTGCATTTATACAACAGAACCTCCTTGCTCTGAAAGATGTGTTTACATCCAGTGACTGCAGCATTGTCTGGTGACATCAGTCTGTGGGGTGACTATTCCACTGCTGCAGTTTTCAGCCTAGCTGGCAAAGGAGGAGTCTCAGGCTTTTACTCAAACTAAGGCAGAAAGTCCTTGCTGTGTTCTAAAAATGGGCTAATGGGTCATTAAAAATATTACGCTATTTTGAAAAGGATCAAACTTTGTCCTAGTTACTCTCTGGTTAGTCAGGCCTGAAAACAGGCAACTGCTTAGTGCAACCCTTCTCCTGTGTTTCATAAAAATAATTTGCTTTTTTAAAGATCACAGAGCAAATTAGGCTGAGTGAGTGTATGGCACCCAGAAGGAATTGCCTCTGGTCAGCTATCGAAGCTGGGTTACTGTCACATACATACATCCCCGGGAGCTTGTGTTGGGGCATGTAATGCTCCAAGCGTAGGATTTAGCCCTGGGCAGAAGCTCAGCATAAGGCTATGCATCATTTAAGGCTCACTTACTGAATGTGCTGAGTGGTGCATCGGCCTCGCAACTGCTGCGAGTTGCTGGATGAATGGCTGAGGAAGCTGAAGAAGTATAATTTTTTGGTAAGAGTAAGGGACCCTGCTTTTCCCAGATTAAGGATTGTTAGTCCAAATCCTGATAGGCACGGTGAAGTCCAGCCAACTCGGTGAAGGCTTGTGGTAGGTTACATCGATGTTTTCCTGAAATTCTTTGTGCTTGACAGCTGCAGATGCTCAGTGGCCTGCTCCTCCGTTACAGTAAAGCCATTAGAGAAATCTGCTCCCAGTCACTTATTTAAACAGCACAGACTGGAGCAGGCTGTGTGAAATCTCCCATTTTTCCCATCATGGCCCATGTTGCAATCGGAATGACCCACTCATCAACAATTCCGTTTCAAAACCATAGAAGGGATTACAGAGGTTATATATACTTCTTGGTAAGGATTTTCAAACTGGACCTGAGATTCAGGAGAGGTCTGAAAGGGGCCTGATTGCCGGGGAGCGCTGAGCAACTGTTTTGGGGAGAAGGGACTCCTTTCCCTCTCCAGCACAGGCCAGGCTGAGATTATCAGTGCCACACTTTGAGACAGCACAGCAATGAGTTAAACTGGAAAGAAAAGGATGATTTTGGTAGTTGTTTTTTTTTTGTTTGTTTTTATCTGATAGTGCTAACATCCTTTCTGTTTGTTACTTGGTTTCTGAACTTTTATGGTGGATTTTCAGATTCCACTTACTGGCATTTCTTTCTGACTCTGAATGCTGGGAACCTCCTGAAAAATGAAAGCTGAGATGTTTCAGATAGGCAAGTCTTTACACAAAAAGCCACTAGATATGGGAGGATTCACAACCAAATTACTAGCATGTAAACGAGAAAAGAAGATGAAGTGTTGGGACTTGAAAGAAGAGACAAGACAACATTGCAAGCTAGAGACCCGCATTGCTAAACATGATGCTTGGTCTTTGTGCCTTTGTTTTTTGAGGCAGTAGCCTTGTACAAAGAATGTGAAGAGCATGGTCTGATCCGTTACAAGGTGAGCAGGAGCAAGATCAGCCTGCCTTTCCCCTTTTGGGGGAAGAAGCGAGATGCCCTGAGCCTGGCTCGCAGCGGTGACATGGTGCCCTCATCATGCTTCATGTCGTGTCCACACTGTGAGAGGCTTCGGCGTTGGCTGCCTGCCTGATTAATGTAAGGGGGGAAGCAGCGTATGGAGTTGGTTGTATCTTGCTGCATTCTCTCTGCTAAGCCCAGGGGTGAGGAACTGCATCCATAAATATTGTTGAAGGCCTCAGTGACGTTCACAGGCAGCGGGCCATATATTCACTCCTCTGCACCATTGACTGGAACCTTCTCCATCAGGGGAGCGCGCCTGGTGCAGGTATCATTGTGCTCTAGGAGGCATAAAATGTCCCATGGATCATCTCTGAAAGTCACTTCAGTGTAGAGAGACCCCAGCTCCTTTTTTCTTCCCAGAAACATTCACATTTGCTATCAGTTGAAGGAAGGTTAAGTGTTACGGCAATAAAGTAACTGAACGCAAATTTCCCAGATGGGGTAGAGGCTCCAGAGAAGTTGCTGAACTCTGCCAGGCCAGTAAAAGATATTTAAAGCACTTGTATATATAAACATTTTCTCCAGAGTGTAATTGCCTTTCATGCTGTGTTTTCATGGATTTCATGGCACATTTGCCAAACTTTATTTTCAGGCAATTGTAACAACAAAAGGGTAAAAATAATTTAATGTCAGAAATGACTAAATCAAATACTGATGGTGGAGGGAGGCTGGTTGCTGACAGACTAGATGAAGGGCCAGGCAGAAAATGCATGCTGGGGGTGAAGCAAGAGTTTTGGAGATGTATTCATGCAAGACGTATTTCAGTCGTTGTGTCACACGGGAGTCTGCTAGGCTAAATGTGGGTAAGTGAGCAGGCCCAGGATTTGTACCTGAGAAATACATAATGGCCTTTTGGTAATGCTGTCTTACAACAGTCTTTTGACAAACACAGGAGGGAATCAGGTTCCCTCTGAGAGTTGCCCACCTTGCCTTTGAATCAACCTGTCCTGGTATCTGAACTGGCGTGAACATAGCCATATAACTGTCTAACATGACCTTAAATTTTCTGAAAAAATTCTGGAAAAGCCTCTGTCTGATCTCTTTTCTTCCCAGTGTAGTTGTGTGCCGGTGTCTCTGAAGCATGCTGGCAATGAGCTCAGCCTGGGCATCGCTGGTGTTTCAGAGCCAGCTAAGGCACTGTAGCTTCATGTAAGTGGTAGTAGGTGTCATCATTAAAAAGTTTCACATTGGATTTTGGCATTTGAGACGAGTCTGTTGTAACAGTCAGGTTTGGTGGCCAGTAATCATCTAAGCTCTTGTTTCTGTCAGCAGTCTTTTGTGCAAGAAGGTCCCAAACCACTTGTGTTATCGGCATAATCGTTCATCTCCTTGTTTCGCCTGCCAAAGGGAAAAGGGGCTGAGCTGGCCACGCTCTAGCTGAAGCGGCTGCACTGCCAGCTGGATGACTCAGGGCTGGCGGGAAGAAGGTGAACTCTACCTTGTACCACTGCTCCAAAAAAAAAGCAAGGGATGAGTACCAAGCCTGGCAGCAGTAGCCACCCTCCTCAGCTCCCTGCTGCGAGCATCCTGGGGTGCAGAGAAGTGGGGTGCTCACCAGGAGCACGTGGGAGCGCAGGTTGCTTTGGGCAGAGGTGTTAATGCTGCCGTGCAGCTGGGGTAGAAGAATTCACCCCAACTTCGGAGAGGATAGCTTGGGATCTCAAAGCAAAGCAATGACTACCAAGTGTGGCCTTTTCCCCACCACACTTGCTTGCGAAAGGACAGGGCAAATTTTTTACATGACTATTTTCTTCACCTGTTTCTAAGCAATGCTCTGCAGCTCCCTGAGTGGAGGTGTTCACCGCAGGCTGTGTCGTTTACCCATCGTTTCCCCAGGTATCAAGAACCTGCCTTGCACCTTGGTTCATGGCAGAGCTTTATTACATCTATATATCCAGCTTGGGGAGGTGCAGGTGATTTCTCACTTGGGTCTGGCTCTGCTTTCTCGTTCGCTGCTGCATCTCCCAGACCACCAGCCACCGGTGTGAGGAGGCAGCGTAGCAAGGCTGGAGCCCAAGGGGGTTACATGTGTATTTGTGCTGCTCTCAGGGGGGGGCTCGGTGGCTCTGGTTAGTGGGGGGCTACTGGTGGCTAGTGCCTGGCACTTCCCCTCCCCTGATCTGGGGTCCTCTGACTCCGTGGGGGTGTCACAAATCCCAGCAGAGGTGTGCAGCAGGCAGTAGAGAGGGTTGTGTGGCTGTGTGGTCAGCCGTGGCCTGGGTGCAGGAGGCGCAGGTAGGATATAGAAAGAAGTGGTGAACGTGTGTGTGGTGTTAAACCCAGCTCGGGAGGCTTTCTGACCTGCTGGCTAGGAACCCTCTGAGAGC